GTGGTATATTTATACAATGAAATACTACTCAGTGATAAACAAAAAAAGAATAAAATAATGCCATTTGCAGCAACATGGATGGACTTGGAGACCATCATTCTAAGTGAAGTAAGCCAGAAAGAGAAAGAAAAAATACCAAATAATATCATTCATATGTGGAATCTAAAAGAAAAAGAAGAAAGAAGACACTAATGAACACATCCACAAAACAGAAACAGACTCGCAGACGTAGTAAACAATTTTATGGTTACCAGGGGAAAGGGGGTGGGAAGGGATAAATTTGGGAGTTTGAGATTTGCAAAGGTTAACCACTATATATAAAAATAGATAAAAAACAAATTACTTCTGTGTAGCACTGGGAACTATATTCAATATCATGTAATACCTTTACTGAAAAAGAATATAAAAATGAATATATGTATGTATATGCATGACTGGGACATTGTGCTGTACACCGGAAATTGACACATTGTAACTGACTGTACTTTAATTAAAAAAAAAATCTAAGAAGTAAGACATGTGCAACCAATGGGTAAATGCTGAAGGATGAGAAGAGCAAAGGGAATGAGAGGAGCGAGTAGGGTCCTGTGCTTCAGCACATTCAATCCATAGTCCCTGCTTCTATTCCTCTAGGGATAAAAGCCCTGGGCACTGGGCTGAGCATTCTACACACACTGCCCACTACACTACCTAACTAATGACAGATTAGCTGTGTAGAGCACTTAGCCCAGTGCCTGGTGTTGTGATGGAAAGATACTTATCCCCCACTTTTCATATTTCCATGGGATGGGATTTCCATTAGTCTGGTACTCCAGGCCATTCTCCCTGCCCTTCCCCATTCTCACTGCTTTCTAGGGGAAGAGGAGTCACCCAACCGATTAGTGCATTTGGGAAAAGGAACAGGACATGTATAGCTTGGCATCTTCCTCTCAGGCACTCTGGGCTGACACACAGTAAGGGTTTCCCCTGGTGGGGAGCCCTAGAGATTTGTGGGTAGGTTGGGAACAGAGGAATGTTAGCGGAACCACTTAGACTGACAATTAACCATGTCCTTCAGCTTAACTTGTATCAGTAAAAAGCTGATAATTTGATCTCCAACTATGTGACCATTCGGTGCCTGTTTCATAGTTGGTCCCAAATGTGGGCAGGAAACAGCGTTATCTACTGAGTCCCCACAACTCGATGCAGGCTCACACTAGGTACTTAATACATGACAGCTATTGTTTAGATTCTAATAATTAGTATCAAATTCAACACACATGATGGAACCCCTCAGCAGAAGGGATACGGTGACACGCGAGCAGGATTTTAAAGGCAGGATAAGAGTTCATCAGCTAGACAAGAGGGTCTGCTCCAGGCAGAGAACAACACATACTGTTCGGTACCACTAGAAAGCAAAGTACGGGGAATGTGGACAATAAAAGACAAAGCAAAAACAGGGATGGGTAGGGAACAGTAATTGAAGGCTGTGTACTAAAAAGCTTGGGATAGGAGCTGTGTCCGTGAGAATTCACAAAGGTTTGGGGCAGGTGACATGGTCAGAGGATGCCCTTGCCAGAGGACTGTGACAAAGAGGGAGAACTAGAGATAGTCCAATCCAGAATGGCAAGCTAGATCAGCTAGTCAGAACTAGAGATAGTCCTTTCAATCCAGAATGGCAAGCTAGACCAGGCAAAGCTGAAGAGAGAAGTCAAAACAGCTTCCAGGGAAAAGTCAGCTGTTTCCAAGAGGATTATCCTATTAACCCGCTGCCCACATCCCTGCGCACCCTATTCTGCTCTCTGGCTTCACAGAGCCTGGACAGTTCTGCCCAACCATATTTACTCTAAAAGAAAAAAAAATCTCTCATTGAGAAAAGCTGCCATTACTGTCATGGCAACTTCTGATTTCCTCATACATTCTCACCATGTTCCCCCATGAGGAACCCTTATCCAGCCCTACCAGCCATTCTGCCCAGGCACACAGCTATCTATCAGGAACTTCTGGGATGGCAAGTGGCCACCGAAAGTGATCTACTCCATTCCTCAGTCTCTGGCAAAAGCCTTCCAGCCCAGTCTTCTTTACTGGTTGTTGTTGTCGCTATTGTTTTAATTTAGGGGGGAGGTAATTAGGTTTATTTATTTATTTACTTTTTTTTAACTTTTTTTTATTGAGTTATAGTCATTTTACAATGTTGTGTCAAATTCCAGTGTAGAGCACAACTTTTCAGTTATACATGAACATATATATATTCATTGTCACATATTTTTTCGCTGTGAGTTACCATAAGATCTTGTATATATTTCCCTGTGCTATACAGTAAAATCTTGTTTATCTATTCTACATTTTGAAATCCCAGTCTGTCACTTCCCACCCCCCTATTTATTTACTTTTTGATGGAGGTCCTGGGCATTGAACCCAGGACTTTGTGCGTGCTAGGCACAGTCCCTACCACTGACCTATATCCTCCCCGGCTCCTTTACTGTTAAATCTCTCCTTGCAAAATGCACCCTGCAACTTCCCATGACAACCAGAGAGAACATCTGTGTTTTTAAACACAAAAAGGATTTCATTTAATCAGTGCCCCCACCATCAAGCCCTTCTCACCCAAAGTCTTTTCGACGATAAAGATTTACCTAGGAGTGAACTCACCCATAAGTATAATGGTAAAATCCCAGCCACAGGCCACCTGTTGGACGGGACAGCCAAGGAGGGATTTGCAGGGGGTAAAATACAGGACATCCTCTGTGTGACCGAGCCCCAGTTGCCCATCTTTGTTCAGGCCACAAACAAAAAGGTCCCCTTCATCTGTAAAATATAAAGGTTTCAGCACTAGTGTACACAGGGGAAATTACCACTGCCGAAACGAACAAAAGGAGTTAATTAATTATTTGGAGTCACAGACCCAATAACTTTCTTTCCACCCAAGTTAGTAAGCTATGCATGTTAATATGTTCTGGACCCAACGGCATAGAGCCAAGGGGCTCCAATCTAATATCTAAATGGAAACTCTAAGTCCTACAGCAGTGGCCAATCATCAAACTAAGCATCTTCTACAACAATAAAAGCCAACATTTATTAGGGATGTAGAATGTGCCAGGTACTGTCCCAAGAGCCTCGTGTGTGAGGCTGACTTATCCTTTAGGTACAGTGCCTAGGGCTCACAAAAATGTTTTAATTTAAAATAATTTTTAATAAGAAAAAATGTAATAAGAATATATAATACTAAATCCAGCCTGGACTATATTAATCTTTATATCAGTGCAGCTGTAAATATAATTTTAAATATTTCTTTATGGAGGAAGAGCTTCACAAAGGCAAAAGTGTCAAGGACTCATCAAGGTCATAATGTAGCCCTGTTAACTCACTGATTCTCATTCGCCCCTTGTAACAGAGGGAATTGTGACACAGAGAAATTAAGTAATTCGCCCAAGGCCACACAGCTAATAAATAAGAGAGCCAGGATTTGAACTCAGGTGGTTTGATTCCAGAGCTCATGTTCTTAACCAGGATGCAACAGGCCCTCTTTTGCACTATTATAGCACTTGTAGTACTTGTTAAGTACTACCCTAGGTACTGTGAGGGAAGATTAAGGAAAATACAAAGTTCTTGCTCTCAAGGAATACTCAACCTAACTGCAAAGACTCTTAACTCATATGTGAAAGTTAAATAGAAATATATGGAATAAAATGTAATGCATGTTGCAACTCTGCCACTATTTGTCTTATAAGCTCGGGCAAATTTACTCTCTGAGTTTCATTTCTGGGGAGGGGGAGAAGGGTGGGGGTGGTGGGAGAGAGAAGGGGTGCTTAGATTTCTGACATCCTTCTAGTTCTGACAATCTAGGATTCTCTGATTTGATTCCTTCACAAAAATGCTTTCCTCTGCAAAATACAAAAGGCTGAAAGATGGCAATATAACACTCTAGGGGAAAATGTCTAAATAAGAAAATGAGAGACTATATTCTCAAAGGAAGTTACCTGTAACAATAGCAGAGTGGCCCCCACCTCCCGTGATCCTCTTGACACATCCAGGTTTACAAAAGTCACTCAGTTGCTGGGGCAAAAGTACGTCTTCTTTGTGGCCAAGGCCAAGTTGTCCATAGCTATTTGCACCCTAGGGATAAACAAGCCAAGGATGAAAAATTTGGGAACCCCAACTGTCAATTTGAATTTACCTTTCCCTGTCTTTCTCACTCTGACATCCCTCTCAGAGCCTAGAACATTTTCATAGGCTCATTCTTAGGAAGTTGTTTTATGCAATCCATACTTAGACGGTGGCCCCTTCCCCAGAACACCACGATTTCCGCGTGAGAGGAGCCTTCAGTGTCCACAACTTATCCAGTGATACTCCTCACCTTCCCCTGCCAGTGTCCCAGAGCACATGTGTTGCCTTTGGGGACAGCACAGGAGTTCCTTCTGATAAAGCTAATTATTTAGGGAGGGTAAAGAAAGAAAGAATGAAGAAAAATGGGAACAAAGTGGGTGAGAATTGCACTAGAACTAGTTCTTGTCCCTTCTGCCCACACCCTCACCAGGAAAACTGGCAATGACTTTCTGGAATCAAAGTTAGCTGGCTTTTTGTGCCCTCAAGCAGGGCACATTATTGTTATTTCATTTGTACAGTGAAAGAGGTTGGCGATGATCTCTAAGGGCCTTTCCAAGTACAATGTTTTGTGACTGTAAGACTCATGTGGTGACATTTCTCTAAGGAAACAGTGGGCAATATGTCTGTTATTGTTATTACACCATAAAGGTCCAGAATCTCTGATCTGAAACCCTTGCAGCCAGATTATTTCAGACCCAGAATTTTGCAGACTTTAGAAAAGCAATATGGTATATAGATCATATACACTGCTGCAAGGTCCACATAAGAAAAAGAGTATTATTTCTGCAGTAAATAGTACAAATACTGAGTTAGCGGGCACAGACTATAAACAGCCTTATGTCAGGTCATTTTGGGGTTTTCAGAGACTTTTGTATTCAAAATTAAGAGAAGGGATTGTGGACCTGCAGGGAAGATCTTATGAAGATTTTGGAAATCCTTATCATTTCTCCAACCACTTACTGCTGCCTGGTTCTTCCCAGAGATGAGTAGTAAAACCTTTAAAATGTGTTTGTTTTTGAAGACACCTGAATGAGGAAGTGATTTAAAGTAACTACAAAAAAATGCATACATATACACCAACTCCTGCCCCTGAGGTTTATTCCACACAATCCTGGGCTGCAAAGACTCCATGCTGAAAGAGCAAGCCAAGCAGGGACACAGGTCTCAGAGGCCCTCGGGGGCAATATTAGCTACCAATTCCTGAGTGCTTCTCCGTGTGCTGGACATTCAACTTTAATCCTCACAACAGAGGAGGGGGCATTATCGCTCTCATTTTACAGATGAAGAAACTAAGGCTCAGAAAGGTTAAGTAACTTTCCACAGTCACACAGCTGAGTAGGCAACAAGTCGAATGGCCCGCTCCTTTATTTTACCATATTTCTCCTCTAAAAATTAAAAAAAAGGCATATATGGTGAACCAGCCCAGAGCTTATGTAGCAGGAAGCTAACTGTAGGACCCTACCTAAAACAGCACCCCTATCATTTTATGCCCTTTTTCTGCTTTATTTTTCTTCACAGCACTCCTTGACATTATATTCTGTACATTTACTCATTTACTGTCTACCTTCCCCACTATAAAGTAAACTCCATGAGGGCAGGAACTTTGTTTTGCTCACTGCTGTTTCCCCTGCATCTGAAACCGTGCTGGCCAAGAAAAGGTGTGCATATATTTCACAGTGAATGAATGTAAGACCGTATGAATTCCTACCTAGGAAAGACCAACTGAAAGACCCACACAGTGTGAAGTGGAGAACATATGCACAGGATATCTCTGTTAGCTGTGAGATCTCCATGCTGCCCTTTTACCAGGGCTACAGGATGCTGAACAGAAAGTGATACACCAGCATCATGGGATTCAAATTATGGCACCAAATTTTCATAACACATCAAGAAGCCCTATATTCATAATAAAGCAAAACAGAAGGAAAATGTAATACAACCTATTACAGCTGTATTTGCCTTCCTTCCTTACAAACACTCCAGACATCACATCCACCCCCCTCCAAAAAGGTAAATCTCTTTGTTATGGACTGATTGTGCGTCACTGAAATTCATTAATTCCCTAAGCCTAACCTCCAGTACCTCAGAATGTGACTGTATTTGGAAACAAGACTTTAAAAGGTAGTTAAGGTTCAATGAGGTCATAAGGGTGGGACCCCCAATCCAATATGACTGGTATGCATTTAAGAAACACAGGGATGCTCTCACCCACAGAAAAAGACACATGAGGACACAGCAAGAAGGCGGCCATCTATAAGCCAAAGAGAGAGGCCCTGGATGAAACTAAACCTGCTGACACCTTGATCTTGGACTTCTAGCCTCTAGAACTGTGAGAAAATACTTTTCCATTGTTTTAGCCTCCCAGTCTGTGGTATTTTGTTATGCAGCCCTAACAAACTAATACACCCCTCCACACAGATATTGCAGCAGAAAGGACACACCAGCAAGCCTCCAAGCACAGCAATGAGGTTAGGTTCAACGATATTATTGTCTCAGTACTGACCAGGCCATGTCTGAAGGGCTTTTTCTGTCAGATGTTTCCTCTGTCCACAGAGACCCCAGTCCCTGGCCTGGGAAAAACTCCCACACCAGGCACACACCCAATCCCTGATTTCACCCCCAGCTCAAGTGTCACCTCAAAGACTTTCAGACAGCCAGACTATCTCAGGCCACACCACACTCTCCCTTCTAGTATGCAGCAGCCTTACATTCAACAAATGCTGCCTGGTACTGATAATTACCATTTTTTTGTTAGTCAGTACATACTGGTTTTAACAGCAATAAAGGTCTTATTCTCCCACCCTCTGCACCCCCTGCAACAGTAGAGCTACAAGACTTTCACTCTTGTGTTTTCCCCAAAAGTTCAGTACATAGCTCGGCACACAACAGGTACTCATTCACTCACAAGTCAACACATAATCTACTGAGCACCTTACAAGGTGCCAGGCACCAGCCAGGCACCACACAAGACAGGCACCGTGCCCACCCTCATGATGCTTACATTCTAGGCAAAGAGACTGACATTAACAAGTTACACATCTCATTACAATTGTGATATGTGCCATGAACTACAAGACACTACGTCTGCTTATTCCTGCGCATCTGGTCTTTTGCCTGCCACACACTCTCGTGCACAGACCTCCTCTCTCCCAGCCAAGACACATAAAGATGATCTCTCAATGCTCGCGTCAAACCAACACCAGCGCAAACTCCCACGCCCCCAGTGCAGGCAAGATCCAGTCACAGCCGAATATCAGCAACTATGCAGGGTCTCCGCCTTGTGCACAGCCCAACACCGCAGGCCTCACCCCAAAGGATGCTCCCGCCAGGCTGGGGTGGGGCTGGTGAAAGGGCTCCATCCTGCTGGCAATGGGCGGGTAAGGAGCACAGGTGGCTCCATACAGCTCTCTCCACAGAGCCCTCCACGCTGTCTTTCCCGGCGCTCTCTGGGCCTGAAGTCATGAGCGAAACCAGACACTCTGCCCTGGAGGCAGGTTCTTCCCACCGCGCCGCAGCCCCTCCGGTCGGGACTCCACCAGCCAGCAGCCCCGAAGTCACCCCGTTAAGACCCTTCCCTCCCCGCGCTCTCCTCCTCAGCTCCCAGCCCAGAATACTGCAACACAGAGCCCGGTTGGGACCTCGGCCGCTGGGCCCCGGGGCCGCCCTCCCCGAGACCCGGAGCTCCCAGCGTCTGTGCGCCCCTCAGTCCCAGCGGCCCCGGCCCGGAGGCGGAGTCACGTACCCAGGCAAAGAGCGCGGCCGCAGCAGGGGCAGCCTCCGAGGCGCTCCACTCGAACTCCATGCGAGGACGCTCCGCCGGCGCTTCCGGGAGGGGCCGGCGCAAGGGCGGGGCTCTCCGGAGGAGGGGCCGGCGCAAGGGCGGGGCTCTCCGGAGGAGGGGCCGGCGCAAGGGCGGGGCTCACCGGAGGAGGGGCCGGCCCAAGGGCGGGGCTCTCCGGAGAAGGGGCCGGCACGCGGGAGGGACTGGCGTCAGGGGGCGTAAGGCCCACACCCGGAAGGGTCTGTGGTTGAGAGGGGCCTGAGCGGAAGGAGGGGCCGCGGACCGCGCTTTCTAGGCTCCACTAACCAGGCCCAGGCAGGAGCCGAGCAGCCGCCCCCGGAACCTCCTCCCGGTCGACTCTCCCGGGCGCGCTCTGAGCGTTTCCGCCCCCGGCCTCCTGTCTCGCCGGGCACCTCTGCTGCTCCTTCTCTCCGCTCTCACTGTATTTTTAGTAATAATTTTATACGATTGCACTGCGCTTAGCAGTTCACAAAGCTCCTTCTTTATCTGCCTAGAATCCCACGACAGCCAAGAGTGGCTGACAGGACAGGGATTGTATCAGGGAAGACGAGCCTGGGAGAAGATGGACAAGGGTCCTGACCCAGCGTCTAGGCTGAACTGTCTTTGGGCCTGCTTTTGTGTGCAGTTGGCAAAATCTGAGGGAGCTTCTTGGTGCCAGTGTAGTGTCTTACGTCGTTGGTGTCGCCTTTAGCGCCAGACACGGAGCGGTAACTCACACCCCGCCCTCTTAGATTCCTGAAGAGGCTGGTTATCGTGGATTCCTGCCAGGGCAGCCTTCTAACCCTCAGCGTTCCCAGAATGGCCTTGGTCCAGATTCTGATTATCAAGGTAATAACTGGATAATTTTCACCCAACAAAGATTTTCATATAAAATGGCTTTTATCAGACACCCTCGTACACTGCTAGAGGGAACTAAATTAAGTACAATTTTCCTGAAGGAAAATGTAGCAATGCATATTACGAATATGAAGCTAGGTACTTAGATATTTAGCTAGTAAGTCCAATTCAATTTGTTACCAGGAAAAGGAAATAAGAATTACCTTAGTTCTTAGTCACCTGAAAAAAAGATTTTTGACGAGAGACAGAAAGCGTGATATAAGCAAGATTTTTATTAGTGAAGTTAAAAAAGTAAAACAATACACTCCCGAGAATTGGGAGCGGGCCAATCCAAGAGAGGAAAAATGGTGCCATTCCCTCGTTTTCCTTGTTTTTGTATCCTGATTTAGTGATTGATTGATTGCTTGATTGACAACTCAGGTTCCCTGCGCTCTGATTGATTGACATCAGGTTCCTTGTGTTCTGGATTGTTCCTTTCCCCTTCCTCTCCTCCTGCCCAGTGCTCATTTCTATCTAAGCTACCTAACAAGTTCATTTATCACCAGAAAAAAATAGTAACTATGCATAAAACCTTAGACTGCACGTTATTCACTATGGGGTTACATAAAATAATAAAGAACTTAAAGAAACTACTTTAAAGTCCAAAAACAAATTGATTAAATTATATGGCCGTGTAAAATTGAATACTAGCTGCCATTAAAAAACACGTCTGGAAGATAGTAAATAAGGGAAATGTTCATGATATGTCATTGAAGTAACTATTATACCAATTTTACACACACACCCACACACATGCACACGCTAAATGGTGGATTACAGGTGGTTTTTTTTTTTTTCATGCTTTTTTGTACATAACCCACGTTTTCCAAGCCAGACATTATCTTGTCAGTACATATGGGGTCATATTAAAGATGAGAGTCTATATTGAGGAGTTCTTGATCCCTCTGCTGACCCAAGCCTCCAGTACTCATTACTTATGCCTGGGAGGCCCTGGGGAGTGTCTCTGGTACCTCTCACTCAGTCCCTCCCATTCTTTCACTCCACCCAGTCCTTGATGTTTCTGCCTGTCAAGACCACTTGAGGGCAGCACCTCACCTTTACCTCTCCAGCCTGTGGCATTTTGAACATGGAGAACCATGCTAAGAAAATTGCAGACTTTAGAGAGGCAATGCAGCTCTTCAATTCTCAAGGGAACGTGATGTGGAAAAACTATACTGTGTTTGATGACTGTTTTATAGGAGTAGCCTTTTTAAATTCTGACCATTCTTTTTAAGCATATGTAATAGGATGTAAAAATGGGACCCTTCCCCTCTCCTTTTTGGCTAAGACTCTAAAATATTAAGTGCCAATTCCTCTCACATTATAAAGTGAGGTACAAGACCACCAAAGCAGAACTTGTGTAAGAGGTGTCTAGAAACCAGTGTATCACTTCCAGGCTATGAAAGAGGTTGGAAAGGTTGAGAGAATTTTGATAGAATATATGTGGCAGTAGTTGTCAGTGTGATTTGTGTCCTGCCCAGCTCATGTCTAAGGAAAGGCATGTGTCAGCAGGGCCAATAAGAGAGCTTGGTATGTATCCTTCCAGATTAGGGGCTGGGCAGGTTGCTGTCCAATTCCTGCTGAGAAATGTTCAATGGCTTGTGGCCAGATGACTGCTCTGATAGTTGAGCAAAGAGAGATTGATGCTTTGGAGAGGTCTTTCATGTCCAGAGTTTTTCAAGACAAAGAATGTCTGAGTATCTCCCCTATAAGTGTTCCCATTCATGAGTAAATTAACAAGCGGATGGATGGTCTTAGACCCAGATCAAGGGAATTTCTGGAGAGGAGAAGTGACACCCAGAAGAGTGCCCACCACTAGATTCCTAGAGGCTGAGAAAAATGAATTCAACAGCCCAATCTGAGAGGTACATTTACCCATATCAAGAGATCCCAAAAAATAAGAAGTGGGAAGTTCTTTCAAAACACATGAGAATGAGTCATCATTAAATATTTACCAAGTACAGAAAACACATATGCCAACTCAGCATTATCAGACCAAAAACAAACTTCCTACTCCTTACCTCTCCTCTCCACCTCTATTCCCAATCCTAGAGGAGCCAGAGGCATCCTCATGAGCGAGGAAGGAGGAGCAAGAAGATAAAGATGCAAAGCACACCTCTTCCTTTCTCTGTTCTAGAGAAGAAAAACTTTAACCTTAAAATGTAATGTTTTGAACTTTTACACAAGACAGGAATTTTAAAATACTGAAATGAGAGAGAGATTAGAAGCTAAGGACTTAGAGTGAGCAGAAAATCCAAGGCAGGGACCTGAAATTTCATCCAAAGGGACACGGAGGAATTACCCAGAGTCAGTTTTAATAGAGAGAAGGGCTGGGAGAATACAGTTGCTTTCCAATTTTATCCCTTGAATGTACATGCATCAGTACTTAAGCTAACTTACAATTATATTACTATGTTATATCCCTTAATACAATTTCTTGGAAGTGCTGAGATGTTGCACATGTCACTAACTAGGTCATCCCATTAGCAGCTTGGGTGAGTTGGAGTTCTTGAATGGAGGTGGATTTAAATTATTTGATGGTATCATTTTCAGATGCCTTCTCTCCCCATAAGAGGAAAGTATAAAGCATTTTGAGCCATACAGCCTATTTCTGTACCGCACAGGTTAGGAAATTTTTCCCGTTAGATTATCTTATTTGCTTTTCTCAATATTACTGATAAGTATTGTTAGAATAATTATTTTATAGATGAGAAAACTGAGGCTCAAAGAAGTTAAATGATTTACTCTGAGGTCAGATTTCCACTTTTGATAAAGGTAGATTTGCTAGCTGCAGACCAATTCTTTCACCAAAAACAATTTTAAAAGCTGGGGGAAAATATTTTAAAAATCTGTTTCAAGTCATTGGAGAGCTATCAAAGCAGCCAGTACTTGAAGGTCCAAGATCTAAAAGCTGAGAGACTATATTTGGCACTACTTTTCTGCGAGAGGCATTTGCTAATTAATTAGCAAGCAGTGACATGGAAGCTAAGAAACTGGACTGAAAGCCGCAGCTGAAAAGCTGAGAAACTGAAGAGTACTTTTAGCAATTTTATGGGGCCAGGGGGAATGAGAGTACAGGAAGGGAGAAAAGTAGGAGTCCAGGGTCCCCATGGAGAAGCCCTGGTTCACACTCATAGCTTTCCTTTGGGATCCCTAAAGGGCTACACCTTAAAAGTAGAGGTAAAATGGAAATAGATCAGCCCTCACAAAGCTAAAACATAGCTTCAAATTAATTGGCTTAATCCATAATAGGACTAAGACAGTCTTCCTATGCCATTATATTCTTCCTGCTAGAAGCAAAAGCTCAATCTCTCTGGAGGAAATTAAAATCATCCAGAAGCTATGAAGAACCTCTGATTAGGAGATTAATGATTCTTTACATATGGATAATAAATTTCTTTTTACAAAGTTCTCCCACAGTACAATTCTTACAATAACCCAGTGAAGTAGATTTAGCTCCTTTTACAGATGAGGAAAATTATTTTAAGACTTTATCAAGAATTCCAAAAAGTGGTTACTAGGTTCCAGGTGTGTTTGACTTCCTTTGTATCTCATATTCATAGGGTTTTTTTTAAAGAAGTGTAAGGATGTTACAGATTTCTGAAGCTACCAAAATTGCTAATATATATTTAAATCAGTTTTTAGCATACGTTTGACAAAAAATAAATCCTTGTTGAGAACACGAATTTTGTGTCCTTTTATTATCCAGCTGAGTAACAAATTAGCAAATCATAGATGTATATTATATAGTAAAATAAAGACTAGACTGAAATAGACTACAATATCTTTATACGTTTCCTAAAAATTAATATATGACCTCTATTACATGTTCCATTAGAGAATTCTAGGATTTTTAATTTTTTCAGTTTGCAAGTGAACTTAAAAATGAACTATAAATCTGCACATTTTGGTGTGTCATTACTACTGTTTAACTCCAAATGACAAAATAGGCAGATTAAGAAATGCAGGCATTCTGGCAACCCACTTTTGGAACATTCTTCAAAAGTCAGGAAAATACCATCTATGTTTCTAACTAATAACTCACTGATTAGGAATTATGAACCATACTTTTGGTTCAATTCTTTCCTCATGTTTTAGTAACTGTTAACATATTCCTTGAAGCTTTGAAGAAAAATATTTAAAATGCATGAAAGCTCTAAAACTCTCAGGATTCCTCATTTACTAAATATCACAAAGTCAGAGCTTAGAAGAAAGAGCTAAAGTCAATCATTAAATATTTCCATTATCCTGAAGATGTGAATTATAATGGTCATGTCTCTAATATTTTCTTTAGTGTGCTTTAGTCACAGAGTGATTTGAAATACTATCATTTAAAAATTCAGTAACTATGATTCTTTACTGTGATCAAAGTTGTATGAAAATAACTGGATATAGTATGCATAATTTGCTGTTATTTGTTATCTATCATGGTTTGTTTAATAGATTTCCTTGCAACCAAACACACTACCTAACCAATATTTCACTACCTAACCAATATAACTACAAACTGCCTAACCAATATTTCAGATGGGTTCAGATTAGCTGACTTAGATCTGCTACAGTCAAAGGTATATGTAACTGTTGATCAGCTATTAAAATTTATAAGTAATATAAAAATCTGAAGTAGCATGAATTAATCTTCCTAATTCTATTTACTTTATAACATAAAATGAAATAAATTTTTAAGAGTTTTTAAAATACTTTCTTTTGAGATCTAAAAAGAATTAAGTATCTAGTGGTCTGATGAAATAAAACATGTTAAATGGTATACAATTTGACTATTAATGTGAAAAAAATTAAGAGCATAGTTTTCGAAGAAGCTGATAAAAGAATGGAAAATTGGTTGAAAATATGACCCTTAATATACCATTAACAGAAATGAAGTCACTGGGAGAGAGAGCTGATGGGGCCTAAGATTCTGAGTTCCTTTTTGGACCTATAGAGTTTGAGATACTTGGCAGGGCTACCACGTTGCACAGCCCCATTTCATTCTACATGAATGGTGCCATAAGAAGTTACACAACACTGGCCTAATTTATGGGACATCTAGATGGAAATATCCAGGAGGCAGCTGGACTTAAAGAGGCAAAAACTCAAGACAGATGTCAGGGTCTTAGAATTGCAAATATATGAGTCATATGAAACAAGAATTGAAGCCATGACCATGGATGACATTTTCCATGAGCAGATAGCAGAGAGAAGAGGGCCAAAGACAGAAGTCCGAGGAAAGTGTTCCTTTGGTGGGTAGGGGGAGGAAAGAAGGCAGTACTGGGGAGTCCAGCTTTACCTGTGTATATCAGCCCTGCGCCCTGTACTACCCCGCTGACACCACATAAAACCCAGTGCTTGCAACCTTCATTATTATAGTGTTGGTCCTATAATGCTCTTCTTGACCTATCTTACACCATTTCCTACCCATTTCCCCACCCTCGACCCTCATGCCGGGCCTTCCTAATTATAGTCTCACATTATACCTTGGAAATAAAGTGCTTGGGACTGCTTTTACAAATTTAACTTTGTGCGTCTCTCAACTGCCTCAGTTTGAATTCTCCCCTTGACAAACTGTCTCCTGGTAACCTGAGGACAACCCCTGGGGCTGCATGCTTGAGTACAGGGCTTTGCAAGTGGCACCCCCACCAAGTTCCCCTTGGTCCCATGAGTAGGACAGATAATCTAAAACAAAACCAGCATCATGCAATGCCATAGAAAGGAAAGAGTTCCAAAGAGGATAGTCACTTGGGAATGGGTTTCCTAGTGCCTGTAAAAAAAAAAGTCCCAAATTCTTTGCCTGGACCTAAGGATTATACCCAAGCCAACCTTTCTTGACTTAGCTTTTCCTATTTCCCTGCAAGACACTACACAGGAAACTAGGCTACTTGCTCTTTACTAGGTATGCTTCAGGCTACTACTCTCTCTTTTGCTCAGGCTAGCAGCAGAGACAGCTGGTTTCCTATTAAATTTAGGACCAAGCTCAGCCCAAATTCAGTTGGTAAGTAAGATACTTTAGAAATAAGAGGATCTTAGGTAACAATATGGATCAGCTCCATAATGCCCATCAAGGTATTTTAAGTGATCATAAAGGTCATTTTACTCAAGAAGGATTGTGGAAAATAGAGTCAGGCTAGGACTAGATCTATCCATTGGGTCAAGCAAATTCTCTATGAAAACCAGAGTGGTCAATGAATTGTATGGCATCTGAATTATACTTCACTAACGCCATTACTGAAAAAAAAAAAAAAAAACAGTGGCTAGAGTATCCAGGTACAAGTTTCAAAGACTAGTGGTCCATTAAAGAATAGGAGTAGAGAATATTTGGCTGCTGTCCCTCCACAACCAGGTCTTCAAAGCAACAGCTGGCCCACAGGCCCCTGAATTGATGCTCAGATGCTTTCGGGATTAGGACTGGCAACTGTCAGATGCTCAGTTGCCTGCTGACCTTCGCCAGGGCATCACTGACAACATCAAGGTCATGCTGCAGCTCGTTCATGGCGCTGGTTATGCTCTTGGTGTCTTTCAAGATCTGAATACTCCGTGTATATGGATTATACTTCACTCCAAATGGACGCCTGATTGTTTTGGTAAATTCTCTATTTAAGAAAACAAATGAGAAGCAATCAATTTCTAGGAGGAAAATAATGAAAACTAAACAGTGTCCATTAGACAAAAAATTAACATATCTAAATCCTGTGCATACTTCAAGTTCTTTCCCAAATGCCATTAAGCTTTCCCTGTTACCCCAGCTGGAATGAATTGCTCCTGAAAAAAATGCAGAACAATGTTTTTTTTGCCCGTTTCATCTATATCTCTCAAAGGCTTCCTAGTTGTTTTATTTGTATACAGTTTATTTTTCGTATTACATTATAAACTCTCTATGGGAAGGAATGGGAAGAAACCAATTTCTCAATGTATCTGATTCGTAATTGCAACACTGAACATCATGATAAACAACATACCCTAAATATTTACTGTGATAGGGAGATAAGTTACAGGCAGAAGAAGCCTGGTGGGCTTCTAATTATCCAGCTGCTTACTTCTGTGACTTGCTACCATTATTGGACCTCTTTTTTGCAGAGGAAAATTAAGGCATAAGGAAGATATACTTTACCTCATTTTCTCCTTTGCATCTTCAAAGCTTTCAGATACAAAGTAGACATCCTGAAAAGTTGTGATGAGACACTCCTGTTTGCAGGTAATCTTGGGATCAAAGGGCTTTACTTTGGCATGTCCAGAAAGAGCATGCTAGAGGACAAGGAGTCAGTGAATCAAAGAATATTTTGAAATTTTGAAATTTTCATAGATCACAATCCACACGCAACTGCCAGAAGCATACTTCTGAATGTGTTACTAATGCAATGGGCCGAACCTATAATTCCAAACTTATTTCCTATGGTTCTATTTAATCCAAAATATACTCCAGCAAAATAAATGGCTTACTGTTCCCTGTAAATGCCCCAAGATCATCTCCATTGTTCTAAAGCTGTTCTCCATGTAGGAGGTGCCAAAGGGTCTTTATTTATTCCCACATTAGGGCATCTACTTTCTACCCTGCACACTTATTCCTATACATGACTTGCACCCACTACCAGGTGGTAGGCTCCTTGAGAGCAAGACTGTACCTTGGACAATATTTCTTGCATATCCATCACTCAATAAACATAAGTTCATTCCTTTATTGGATAAATAATAAATCTCAAAGAATTCCCTAGAAATTACTGAAGTTATTGCTAGCACACCAAAAGCGGTGAGGAAACAGCAAGACTTTGTGAGCAAAAGCTTTAAAACACTTTTTTTTTAACTTAAAAGATCTATCAATCCTCTGAATAGACATTTATATAATAGATATTATATATCTATTCAGAAAACTTAGGAAATAGAGAAAAATGCCTCTTAGGTAATATTTCCTGCCCCCCCCCAAGTATTTTCCACAGTAAGCTTTTGTTCAGATCCAAAACTTCCAGGTCGTATCAATTATATTAAGTGAATATGGTTATGTGCAAAGATTTACAACTCTTACTTTGAGTTCACTGATAGAAGAAAGCAAGCCAGCACCAAAGACTCTTAGCTGTCCCTCTTGTTTACACAGACCAAACTCCACAGTGAAAAAGTAGCACTGCAAAAAGATACCAGTATTACTTTCACATCCTGAATGACTGGATTTAAAGCAAATTACAACTCTTAGTCACTGACCCAATGTACCCTGGAATAGACTCCAAGAACCCCAGACTAGCTCACAAGTAGTTCTACAATCTGGCTTCATTCCAAACTAGACTTCTCAAACTTCTGTTCCTAGAACTCTTATACACTCTTAAAAATCACTGAGGACCACAAAGACTTTTTGTTTATGTGGGTTATAATTAGCCATATTAACCATATTAAAAATATAAACTGAGAACATTTTTAAATGTTCACTAATTTTAAAATATAAGCCATTTTATAGTAACACAAATAACATTTTAATCAAAAGTAACTATATTGTACAAAACAAAAAAAAAAGATGAGAAAAGTAGCATTGTTTTACATTTAATGTCTGACTAAATATTGTTTAATGTCTGGCTGGAAAACAGATGGATTCTCATATCTGCTTGCTTTTAATCTGGTGCAATAGGTTGTTTTGGTTCAAGTATATGAAAAAAATTCACCCTCATACAGATAAGTAGCTGGAAGAAGGCTGAATATTATAATAGCCTTCTCAGATAATTGTGGATATTCTTATTTGATACTACATCAAAACTCAACAAGTAGTAGTTTCTTAAAGTGCAGCTGCAATGTGGAATCTGAAACCATATCTAAGAACTCTGTCTCTTACATTGAAATCTACTTTGCATTTTGAATAGATCTTTCCTCCAGGACTCTGCAAAAGGGTTTCAGGGACCCCCCCCAGGGGTCCCCAAACCACAATTTGAGAAGCACTGTTTTAACCATCCATAGTCTATTTGACACCACCTCCCCCACCCTCACACACTCTGCTCCAGCTTCTTGTCATTTCCCCAGATACACCAGGCACCTCCTGTCTGTCCTTGGGTGCACTCTTCCTGAGATGCTCTTTCTTCTTTTCCTGGCACGTGAAAACATTAATCATCTTCCCTGGGCTAGTCCAGATGCTCATCTTCCTGAAACCTTCCCCAAGCAGTTCTCCGTGCTCCCAGAGCACTCTGCCTAAACTTCTCTAGAGACTTATTCTCATTCTAACATAACTGTCTGTGTATAAGTTCCTTGAAGGTAGGAACCAGGCCTTACTCATCTTCGTGTTTCCAGCATATTGTCTTGTACCTAGTGCTCAAAAATAGTTTTAGCATCATTTTTAGGGAACCTGTCATTTTTACTAAAAAGAAGAAGACATACAAACTATTAACCTAATTGTACTCGTGTTCTCTATTTCTCTACCTTTTTTTAAAGCTCATGTTTTCTTTTGATAAACCTTAAATTTTTCCATCCTCTTTTAATGTTATTTAAATTATTTAAATTAAATTAAATTAAATTAAATATGAGCAAAGACAAATTTTCTAATGGTCATCTTGAATACATCTTTTTAAACCACACAAATGCCCACATCCCACCCCAGTTAAGAATTACTAATGTATACAGCTATTTCCAGATTTATACCGTTGCCAGTTTTTGAACAGCCTCTTCTGAAGCTCCAAGAGAAGCCAGGCCAATTTCTTGGGAGAATTGAGCAAAACTAGGTTCAGCCAAAAGAGGGACATGACCTAAGAGTTCATGGCAGGTATCTCTGAAAAAGAGGTACAAACATCACAGTCTGTTGCACTGTGATGCTTAACATAAATGCACAATCAACCATTCAATCAAATCAAAATCTGATCTTACTTTTACCTGAATTGACCAGGTGGTATTACTTTGAAAATGGACCACAAAGGACACTATTACAGTAAAGAAACTAATTTTGTTCAAAGCCTTGGACACTCACACACACACAAGTACACACAGATACAGACATCCACATCTCACCACTCCCTCCACACACAAATCAGGTCTCTGCTCAACGTCACCATCTCAGCAAGTCCTTCCCTGATCACCCTTTTCAAAACAAAAACACCCACACACACCCCGACCTCTATCCCCTTTCCCTGCTTTATTTTTCTCCATGGCACTTACAACCAACAGACATTCTACATACATATTTACCTGTTTGTTTATTATCTATATCCCCCATTGGAATATAAGCTCTATGAAGGTAGAAAATTTTGTCTGATTGTTTTCAGTGTTACATCCTCTATGCTTAGAACAGCACTTGGCACCTAGCAGGTTGTCGATTAATAATGGCAATAATAATGGCCAACATGTACAGAGAATGGAGCGGGTATTACTACGTGCCAGGCACCACTCAAACTGCTTTACATGTTCTAATTCACTTGATCTTCACCAAAAACTCATGATGTAGGTACCATACTGATGAACGGACGCTGCAGTAGAAGTACTTACGGCTCTGGAGTATAGAGGGGATCTGAACTGTGTCTCACATACTGTGTACAGTGAAAGACTCGAAAGGCTAAACCTGATAAGAAATCTCTTGGTGATAAGTAACCAGCCACAGGACGGATGGAAAAACCTGTGCGCTCTGCAAAGCAAAGGAGAAAACAGAGAAAATCTTTACTGCGAGTGGGTGTGGGATTTTTGCATGAACATTCCCATGGATACAGAACTATCTCATGAGCCTGTTCCATTTTCAAGTGGTTCTTTTAGCAAAATCTTCCCCATTTTGAGCCCAAAGTTTGCTATTTCTATCCATTTGTCCTTTACTTAGGGCCACATAGTAATCCCTCTATTACACACGATGACCTTCAAATACTTGAAGCTGTAAAGTCCCCTAAAATTCCAGGTTAAACATCCTAAGAGTCCTTCAAATTTTATTTCTAGGATACATTTTCCAATCCCTTTATAATTCAGCTCACTTTCTTCTACACTTGCTCCAGGTTATGACTTATGACTGTCCCTCTTCAGAAGTGGTGCCCAATACTGGATCCAATTCTCCAAGACAGGAGAAAAAAATTCTGACCTCCTGTACAACTGAACTTTATTCCTCTATTAAAAATTCTGTCATAATGAAAAACAGAGTCCAACATTCCCCTTAAAATCAATTAGCTCATTACCTTTTAGAAAGTTTGAGACATCTTCCAGTTGTGGGATATTATCTTCCCGGTATCCACAGTATTTAGAAAGCAGAGGTAAGTTTTTGAGATACTCCCTGCAGGCATGGGTTGGGTAAAGTTTGTTGAGCTCTCGGAACACGGTTCCCCAGGTCTTAATCTCCTCTTCAGTGAATTCAACCTTAGGAATGGGGTCTCCACTGATGAGATAAAGAGAGGAAGTTATTTTGAATTATCATTCAATAAACAGTAGCACTTATTTTCTATTTACTAAATGAGTATAATTTACTCTATTCATTTAGTTTATTATTTCAAAGTTGGATAAGTTATTTTTATAAAACTTACTGTTTATAGTTCATAGCCAAGTCTGCAAAATACTTTCGTCTTTTACGGTAGACATTGTCTTTGAAGCCCTGATAATTAAAGAAACGTTTTTAAATATCCATACTAAAAATACTAGACAAATGATTTAAAAAATATTTCATTATTATTTGAGTGATTATGTTGAAAGGCTGCATAATTGTTATTTTGAGCAAGCACTGTTTAGAAATATATTTTAAAGTCAATGTTATAGGACAGTTTAATATGATAGTGGCTACAAAGATAAAAGATATTATACATACAAAAATACTGCAATAGCTACAAAAATAGAGTAGTTCTGAAGAAAAAGAAAAGTACCACCCTAATTATACACATGGCTCTTTTCCAAGGGTGAATTTTTTTTCCTAATCATTTGACTATACATTCAGTTATATTTTCCTGTAAACTAATTAATAACACAATGATAATTAATAATACTTGAAATCATGGCAACTGAATCCAACCTCAGATTTTATTACAAAATGCAAACATATTCATAATTTGCAGAAGCAAATAATGATAATAAAAAAAGACAAAACAATAACGTTAGAATTTATACCTATGAAAAACATTTAAGAGAAAAACAGACAAAATAAGGCATCAAAAAGCAAATCTTCGGAGGATCTAGCCAACAATACAAAATAGGAAAGACAGGAAGGACGCTTGAAAGGAGAGAATGAGACCCGTGTTTAACACAGATTTATAGGCCTTTACTCTGCTCCTGGTCTTGTGCTGAAATCCAGAGAAACAGAGCACAATCTGGGTCTTCAGGCGGTTTACTTTAACCAATTATTATGAAACAATTTGATAAATGCCTTATTAGAGGTATGCACAAAAGAGAAACTCATAATCCAGAGTATGTGAAAGAGGGTAGTGCAGGTCAGGAAAGGGTTCCTACGCTAAGTCTCAAAAGAGGAGTGGAGAGAGCAGGGGTAGAGTGGGTCAGGGGGGTGCAGGACAGAAAGCACAGCACAAGGACAGCGCAGAAGTGAAAACCAGCATGCTGCACCTAAGAAAACACAGACAAACCACTGCTGCTGGAGCCTGGAGAGTGAGGTGAAACACGGTAAAAGCTAGTTAGTGCCTGTGAGAGCATGGATTTTAGTCTTTCGGTAATAGGAAGCCACTGGGATTAAAAAAAAAACAGCTTTATCAAGATTAAATTCACATATAAAATTGACATTTTGAAGTGTATAACTTTGTGGCTTTTAGTATATTCAGTGTTGTGCAACCACCTCCACCATACTTTCAGAATATTTTATCACCCCAAAAAGAAATGTACCCATTTGCAGTCTCTTCTCATTTTCCCCTCTCCCTCAGCCCTTAGCAACCAGTAATTTACTTTCTGATTCTATGAATTTGCCTATTCTGGACATTTCATATAAAAGGAATCACACAATATATCACCTTTTGTGACTGGCTTCTTTCACTATGACAGTGTTTTCAATGTTCACCTATGTTGTAGCATGTATCAGTATTTCATGTTTTTTATGGCCATTACTATTCCATGTTAGGGACATACCATGCTTTACTTATCCATTCATCAGTGGATAGACATTTGGGTAGCTTCTACCTTTTGGCTGTTATGAAGAATGCCTCTATGATTTTTGTGTGGACATATGTTTTCAATTTTCTTAGATATGTAACTAGTGTAGGTGCCATTGATGATTTTTAGGTGGAAGAGGGGTAATGGTCACACTGAGGCTTTAGAGCATTCTAGTGACTATGTGGAGGGTGGGTTTGAGGGGGCAAAGCTGGAAGCAGAAGACCAGTTAAGGGCTGTGGTAGTAAGAATAAAAAAGGAATAAATTTAAGAAATATTTAAGTGAAAATCAGCAGGACTTGGTAGTAGGTCAGTAAAACTGATTTACATACCTTTCCATAAACATGCCCCAGATTTTTTTTGCCTCTGAAACTTTGATCATTTTGCAATGAACTATCCTTCCTCTCCTTGCTTTCCTACCAAAATTCTTTAAGGCCAATTTAAAAGGTTGCCTTTCTCTGATCTCTTCAGCTAGAAGTGTTTGCTGTCTTATGCATATCTTTAAGCAGTCTGTTCGTGCCACTTAGCACACATCATATTTAAATTCTGAATATGTTTACTTATAAATGTGTGCTTTACCTGTTCAACTAGACTGTAAGCTCCCTGAGGGCAGGTACAGTAATTTACTAATTCCAATAATTACTCGATAAGATGTTATAGAATAAATGGATCAGTCAGCTGGGGACTAAGGCATAAGGTCATATTCATGCAGCTAATAAGTGGTAGAAGCTAGATTAAATCCCTGGTCTGTGAACACCGCAGCTGAACTTTTTCCCCTCCTGGAATCCTAGAGCTCCACAAGAAATCATAATGCTCTGGACTTACTAATTCTCCAACTCATGCCTGTACTGTATCCCATATAATTTTCCAAGGAAACAACTTCCTAATTCATCAATTATGCTGGAAAGCATAGGTGATAAATCTTTCTCCTTCTTGTCTTTACTTCCCTCTTCAATAACCTATGCCCATTTTAATAGAAACTGACTGCAGATAGTCTTCACTGTAGTATAACTCTTGGAATAGCTCTTAGTAATAGGAATTCCAGGCACAGACAGATGTTCTGCAGCCAATGAAATTATGCTCTTTAATCACTTGGTCTCAATTCCACCAACATGAGGGACTAATAACACTTCCCAAAATCCAGATTAATCAAGATCCTATTTAGTCTAGGATAAGTACTTTCTCCAAAAAAGGAATAAAAATTGCCCTTAATTTTTTAGTTTGCTTTAAATTATTTTCATGAAAATATTTATTAAAAATATTTACAGGATGGTCAGCATCCAGTTCAGATCCATACATCAGAACTCTGTTGGCACAATGGTCCAGGTCAGAAATCTTCTTTGGAAACCAAGGGACAGCTTCCATACCTACAAAATACAAAAACCACTAACAGCGGGAGAGACAATCTTAAATAAGGCAATAAGGAAGAAGAAACTAAGAAAGTCATAAACGTATCTGGATGAGATTTTTAATTTTACCTTCTATGTTGAGGCAAAATGTATACAAGGAAATTGCTCTAGTTCTAATATGTAAATCTTACTCAAAATTTTTGTACTTAAAAGTATTTTGAGCCTTGATTTCCTAAATGTTAGAGAAATGATGTACTTTAGTAATAGACCAAAAATTCAAAAAAAATTTAAGCCACATATTTAGTTATCCTAAAAAAGTAGATAAGGGTGCACAACTTTACAGATCAAGGTGCAAATTTAATAAAAACTCCGAATGTTTATCTTTGTTGATGAAAAGGATCTTAGAGATCATTTACATCTTTGCCACTCTGATCTTCTCACCATCCCTCAGACATACAAGCCTTGATAAAATTCCATGGTTTTGTATATGCTGCTCTTCTGCCGGGAATACCTATCCCACTCTAATCCCTGCTCCACCTCATCCTTCTGCTTTCCTGAGAATATCCTTTTTCTTCAAGACCTAAATCGAATGAGCCTTCCCTGACCCTGTAGGTGGAGCTAATTCTCTGTGCTCTGGGTTCCTGTGATACTATGACTCTAATTCTCTAAAAGCTTTTACTATGTTTTACTATAATGTATCTGTATATGGCTGTCTCATAGAAAAAGAACGGGAACAACTCTAGGGTAGGACTATTTATTTTTAAATCTCCATTTCTTTTCCTTTTTTTCCTTAATGGGGAGGGGCAGGTAATTTTTGGCTTATTTATTTGTTTTTTTTTAAACAGAGGTAGTGGGAATTGAACCCAGGACCTTGTGCATGCTAGGCATTCACTCCACCACTGAGCTATACCTTCTCCCCGTATCCGCATTTCTTAGTAGAAACTGACTGACACAAGTTAGTGGTCCCTAAATATAAACCAAACCATTTAGACTCCACAAAACTCTTCATCTTATAGATGAGGTAACCAAAATCCAGAGAGGTGAAGTAATTTATCCAAGATAACTTGTCTCCAATGGAAGAGAGAACACTAGAACTCAATCCTTCTCGCTCCAGTTTAATGCTCTTTCTAACATACCCAGAAGAGATATTCAAGAGATTTAGCAACAAATACAACAGGGCACCAATCACTCAAAATAGACACAGGCAGAGTTCCAGGCTCTGGCTCTGCCAGGTGTTAACCCTTTAGTTGCTTGTGGTGGGCATGGGACTCCCGGGGAGGATGGGGGTCACACAGGCTTCAGGCCTGGTGGGGAGCACTCAAGGGACTCAGGGAGGAAGCTATCTACCAGTCAGAAATGGAATTAGTATGTCGATATTTTAATAAATTATAGCCATACAAACCCGTAACAGATGAATATCAGCCCTGATTACACCCCAAATATTGTGACATAATCTGAAAGGATTATTTTAAATTGGGTATCATATCTAAAATGTAACATTTATCCATTTGTCTTTTGCACCAAGTAAACTACAAGGATTTTTCCACAATAGATCTTAGCCTATATCTTTGCTATCTGAGTATCTGAAACCTTAGAAGGCTTTATTGCTTTTTCTTTTGGTTTTGGTGGAAGTGAGGACAAGGAAGAATGCTGTATTTCACATATAGAGTACTTCACATCATAGATGTCAGCAATTGTCAACAGGCTCACCAAATTCAAATTCACATAATATCTGCTAGATATTTGCCTTGTGAGAGTTCTAAGGGCTCAGGGATTGTGAACGGGAGGTTTGTGAGATCAAGAAATGCTTGATGACTTGAAAGTTGAGATAACTTAATGGATTTCTAACTATTCTGAATTCTTCCTTATATTCGAGCTTTCCTTTTCACTTCTCTCGACCTTGATAAAATGTTGCTTTCTAATTTTTCTTTAGCATTTTGAGCAATTATGTTTTCTTCATTATCAGACTGTAGGGAATTTGAAAAGACAGACTTTTATTTTCACTTTCATACTTTCAATATAAACATAAGATTGGACACACATTATGCACTTAATCTTATGAGTAGTAGTTTCACTTTTCAAACTTACCATCTTCCTTCACAGTAAAATTATCTGGTAGGTTCACAGAGAGAACATTAGTATGAGACTTCAACAGATGAAAAATATCATTCAATTGTTCTGTATTGATATCACAGTCAACAAAAATCTCAAATTCTGAGTTTCTTCTCTTTGATTTTCGGGACTCGATATGTAATAGGTTCACATGCTTCTCCTGTGGAAAGCAGAGAGTGAAGATTACATATGACTGCCTCAAACGGTTATAGTCTCTGAGCTCCCATTACCACTAAAAATCAACCTCAGCACTTGCCATGACAGACAAAGGGGAAAAGGGAGGGAGGGAGCCACTGGAAAGGGACCTGTTTTTGGTGCTGTCAACAGCAAAGTAACTCCCCCTAAATATTAGGTACTATTCAAAAAAAGTTTGAAAAATTCATTACACCCTCCAGAAACTAACAAATAAATTAACACTCACTAGAAAGTCCCTCAGATTACCAGAATTGATTGGCCTTCAAATCAAAAGACCAAGTCTCCTAGATAAAAAGAACCATTTGAAAATTCCCTAAAATAAAGGCTAGTTTTTTTTAAGTGGTAGTAGTGTTAGTACTTTAGAAAGAAAAATTTCCTTTGCAAAAAATGCATTTAATAAAATTAGATGAACAGCTTGAACACAGAATATTAAAACCTCCAATCTCCTAAGCAATAAACTTAGTAACCCATGCCAGCCTGAGGTATGAGCGCCATAGATGTAAACCTGTAGGGGCAGCATATCTTCTCTTACCAATTTGGGTGCTGAGGAAAAGCCCTGGTGACATAATCATGAAACATAAGAACCAATCACCCAACAGTTTTCTTCATCTAAAAAATGAGAAAGTTAGAGTAGATGATCTCCAATACTAATCAGTTCAATCTAAATTAACCAAGTGAACACCCATGTAGCCATGTAAGGGCTGTGAAGCTTAGAAAGAAGGGCAAGACATACAAGGAGTTTATAATCTGATTGGCCATTACATGAAAGAATAAAAGAAAATACAAGCGCTGAGTGTTCAGGTGCAAAAGATGTTTGGCAAAGAGAAAAAGCATTATAAGTTAGAGAAAGTAGACGGTTCTGTGGAGCAGATAGGAACTCAAATGAGTCTTAAAAAATAGAATAACAAGACAGAAGGGAAGAAGTAGGATTCTTAACAGGAGGAACTGTATGTGACTGGAGTACAGTGCTGTACACCAGAAATTGACACACATTGTAAACTGACTCTACTTCAATAAAAACATTTTAAAAAATAAACAGGAGGAACTGTATGAGCAAAGGTAGAATCTGATAAGAAAGGAGAGAGAGTGTCAGGAAACTGGAATAGGTAGGGTTTATCCTGGAACATAGAATTTATCATGGAATCAATAGAAAGCCAGTTATAAAATACATTGGAACTGATCAGGAGTAAAAGAGAGTTTCATTGAATCTATTTCTTATGAATCTTTATAATTAAGAATGCATTCATAAATATTTTCTGAATGATGACTTGAATAAATATAGATCTATAAATTATGTTTTTGGAGAAAAAGACAAAATGTCAACTCTTCCTAAATTAATCTATAAGTGAATGCTATCAAAATCAAAATCTTGATGAATTTGGTGAGGAAATGAAACTAAACAATTTCAAAGTCCATCCAGAAAAAAAAATTTAGTCAAATTTAGGAAATTTCAGATTAAGTTAAAGTAATAAGTGAGACATTTCCTATCAGATATTTCAGTTACAGAAACAGAGGCACAGAAAGGTTAAGCAGTTTGCCCAAAGCTACACAGCTAATCAGTGTCAGAGCTGGAATTCAAACTCAGGCTGTCCAGCTCCATAGTTCATGCCCTTAAAGACTGTGTTGTAATCCTGTTGTACAAGAAAGGGAGAGTCAGAATAATGGATAATATGGTCTTTCTGAACAAGATTTACATAATCTTAATAATGAAAACACTAAAGACTGATAGAGTCAAAAATTGGGGTATAACAAAATTGGGAAGATGGAGGGAAGGGAACTTGAGGGAGCCACTGGAAAGGGACCTGTGTAAAGAGAGCTAAATCTTCACTTCCACCAGAGAAAATCAATAGGTAATATCTACAAATGGAAAAATCAAGAAACTGCAGCAGAATAAGCATATTGTTTATAAACATGGAAGTAAATACTAGAAAATATAGTTAAAATAGTTGAAAATGGTTGCCCTCTATGGGCTGAGGATAAGTAAAATAGGTGGGTTCACACCCACATCACTCACTATGCAGCGGTCAGAATGAATGAGATGGATACACAGCAGCATGGGTAGATCTTAAGAATATAGTGCTGAGTAAAAGAAATATGTATTGTACAATAACCTTTATATAAATTACCAATACATGCACATGCAAAAACTCAACATCTAAGTAACATAAAAAAATAATTCAATGGCATTCACAGCTCAAACACATCTGAGTAGTTGCCTATCAGAAGAGAGAAATGGAGATTGAATGAAACAGGAGGAAGCTGTATACATCAAAGAGGACAGTGTCCACATGACATAAGCAATATGATTAGCTCAACCCTCTGCACCTAAGTCAACAAAAACCCTCTGCACCTAGGTCAACAAACTAAATGGAGTTTAGGGATGAAGAGAGATGAAGCAGAAGACTGCTGTTTTCTTTATAAACTTTATAACATGGGTTTGACTTCTTAAACCATGCACAAGTATCCACTGATTAAAAATAAAATAAAAAAGAAAGTTGATGGAAGAAATATAGGTATACTATTTAAAGACTCAAAGATAATCAATAGAAGAGCTTAAAATAATCATGTAATCATCAAATTTGGGGAGGAGTAGAGGGAGAAGAGATGGAGGTGGTATCAGTATCTTTCACAATATAGAGTAAATAAATATCATATAAACTGACAACGCAAAGAGAGAGATCAGAACAACTTTTAGATATTATAAAATCACCACCAAAAGAACTAAAGAGCAGAGATAGTTAAAAGAGGTTGCCTCTAGGTAGTGGGACTGAGGTGCTTGGCTAAAAAGAACTGATGATTTTATCACAAACTCTTCGAGACTACTTGTTTATATTTAGAATTTTTAATTCTTTGAAATATTATATTCAAATGTCTACTTAATAGCATAGCATATATATATAAAGTTCATTTATAAATAGCTAACACTTATTGATAATTTACTCTGAACTACCCTAAGCACTTTACATATATTAACTTTATTAGTTCTCACAATGACCCTATCAGGTAGGTAGGGTTCGTTTTATAGATGCCAAGATGAAGCACAGAGAAATTAATTAATTTACCCACAATCACACAGTCAGTAAGTGACAGAGCAAGGATCTGAACTCAGGTGGTTTGCCTACAGAGCCCACAAAGTTAACCCCAATGATGTTCTAATAGCATAATTTAACCAGTCCTATACCTTAAGTAGTTTGTTTATAATTCTTAGCTTCTATAAATAAATCTTTGTGTCCCTAAGCACTTAAACTAGGTTGTCTCACAGGTCAATGATATCATAGTATATGGTACTCCTCTTTCAGTTCAGTTTACACACATGTAATTATTTATTGACTACAATTATTTGTTTAGTGTCTGTCTTCTCCACTAGACTATTCACACTGTAAGAGCTGACACTATGTGTCTACTTTATTCCGGTCTGCATCCCTCATATCTGGCAGGGCACCCTCCACTTGGCACGTACTCAGTAAATATTCATGTTCTGATGACTGAGCCTTATTTCTTTAAGACAGATTTATGGAAGTGGAATTACTGGGTAAAAATATGTGAACATTTTAAGACTCACAACATATATTACCAGATTGTTTTCCTACACATCACACCAATTTTCCCTCACACCAAAGGTGTATTTAAATGCCAAATGCATTGAAACTTTGATGGTAGGGAGCAGTATAATTTTTGAATCTTTGCTATTGCACTGTATATCATTTAATATATTGTTAATGTATCATTAAATATCATTAAATTGTAATATTTTATCTAATAAAATTAAAACTTGCTTCTCCCAAATCTATGAAGTGAATCTTTCCTCCATTTCTCTATTAGTTATTTGCATCTCCTCTTATGTATATTGTTTGTATCCTTTGCCTATTTGATAGAATTGAACAATATTTTAGAAATTTAAGTGCTTAAAAATTTCTGTAGTGCACTTCTGAAGAATTTACAAATAATTTTATAGACTCATTTTATAAGAGTTCTATGCAGAAATATGGAGAGTGCTTACCTGGAAAATTTTCAGTGCTTTTATAAGCCCTCCAACTTCATTCTTTAAGGAAAAAATGAGAGTTGCTCTTCCCTTTTCTAAGGAATGGTCTTTGTTTTCCTTATTGTCTTCAATCATAATGAATTTGGTATACTTCTCTAAAAATAAAATACGAAAATATAGAGAAGTTGTATAACGTAGACAATATTTGATAACATACACAACATTCGGTAACATTAACCAAGTTTTCGTTTCCTCACCTGTAAAACATGTATATGCAGATATACTTTGCAAGGCTGTAATGAGACCACAATAAGATAAATCATTGCCTAGCACAGTGCCTAGAATTTAATAGGCATACAATACAAGTGTAGTTTCCTTTTCTTTTTCTCTAATCTAATCCTTTCAGGGCATGACTTAAGCCCATGGGCTTCTTGCAGTCTTCCTGGCTATTGTGGCCTGAACTGGGCACTCTTCCTCTATGAAAGTCTACCTCCTCTCCCCCTACAATTTCAGCTCTTTTTTATACTGGGTCCGGTTTTTTTTGTTTGTTTTTGTTTGTTTGTTTGTTTTTAAAGTTTCAGGTGTACAATATAGTGATTCAGTACTAAAAAGTTCAACTCTGGTAGTTTTTTTCCCCAAGTCAACGACAGTAGAGCATCAGTGAGGAGTTAACTTAAACCTCTGAAAACCAAATGATCAGAGACAAAGTTAAGCTTACCTGGACTATCGACAGGATCTGAACTACTAGGACCTATGCCTCTTTGTCAGTTGTAACCTGGTACCCAAGGTCTTAGTCCTGGGCTTGGGTGGAGGTGCTGAGAGGCTTTGCATAAGAGACTCCCTTTCTTTGGGGGTGTCTAAGGGAGGGTTCCCTTTATAGGAAGAGAAGGAAAAAAGAGATGTTGCCATTAGACGGAGAGGAAGGGAAGGAAAAAGAATGTGTCTGTTTCTGCTAGCACAGGAGAAACAAACAGACTTGGGTTCAGCTCTGAACCTCAGTTTCCTCATCTGTAAAGTTCAAGAAATATCTACCTCACAGAGTTTGCTGGGGAGGTGAAATTAGATAATATACAAAGAGGCTATTTCTAGCACAAGGGAGGCGCTCAAAAATAGTCTTTTCTCCACGAAGAGAATAGGAGGAAAGGAGAAGAGTGAGTGACCACAGGGGTACAACTTCACTTCCCAGGCCCAGCTTCCCACGGGCGTTTATCTCCCAGAAGGTGACCCTGACTCTTCCCCGAACCGCAGCATCCCCAAATTCGCGACGGTGGTCCCCGGTCCCGGGGGAAGGGGCCTCCGCACTCACCTTGGGCGCCACTAGCGGTGAGCTGGGTCTATCCGCGGATTCGCGCTGCCCGCCTCTTATAGAAGCGGGCGTCGGGGCGGGCCCATGGGCGCCCGAGGCTGCCGGGCGGTGGCCAATGAGAAAGAGGTTCGCCTGCCGGTCGTGGGGAGCGTCCGGGGAGCTGACCGCCTCTGGGTTCTGACTTTCCGCCAGCCTGCGCCGAGACTCTCACGCCTTAGTCTTCACGTGTATCTATCTGTCTGGTGTTTTAATTAAGTTGATGTTAGACCACTCTTAACTACAGAAGTCTGACTAATACTAAACAATCCAGCGTTGAAAATTCCCTCCAAACCAAGATAAGATTCATTATTGGCATAATGACCTCCCATAGGCTTGTACTGCTTCTCCCGGTTGGCGACCAAAGCAGGAACCACCTCCCCCGATCCCCAACACAGACAAATAGATAAGCATGCTATTTTAGCAGAAAATCATATGTTTACAACATGTCACAGAAGCCAAAAATTTGGACTAGGTTATTTACTGAGTGCTCAGTCCATCAGATCCTGTCCTGAAGGACTATATATATATCACACTACAATTTTTGCTTCAGTTCTTTAAAAGTCAAGTTTGTTGATATACAATTTACATACAGTAAAATTCACCCTTTTGAGATGTACATCTCTGTGAGTTTTGTCAAACATATACAGTTGTGTAACCACCAAATAGAATATAGAACATTTCCATCACCTCAGAAAAGCTCCCTTGTTTCAATCCTCTCCCCTAACATCCAGCCCCTGGCAACCACTAATGTTGTTTATGTCCCTCTACTGCTTCCTTTTCTGGAATGTAATATAAATGGAATCATGTGGTGTGTATAGGTTTTTAGTTCCTGGCACTTAACATGATGCTGTTGAACGTCACCCATTTTGTTGCATGTATCAGTAATTTGTTCCTTTTCGTTGTTGAGTATGGATATACTTTTAATGCAGGACATTTACAGCTTTCAAATGCATTTTTCCTTTTATCTACATAATAATTCTATGAGGTAAATACTATCCTCATTTTACAGATAAGGAAACTCAGATACAGGAGGCTCTATGACCCTTTTCTGGTACAGGCTAGTAAACAGAATCAAGAATCAAGCAAAAACATTCTGACTTTAAATCTGGTGTTCTTACTACAATACCATGAAAAGCACTGACCAAGTAGAGACATTTTAGAACTAAGCTGAGGTCAAAGATAGCTTTCCTCAAGTTGGGTCTATGGGAGGGATGGAACCTACTCTGTTAGAGAAGAGAGATGGGGCCAAGTCATTCAGTGAGCCCATCGCCAAAGAGATCAGGAGAATAGGTTGGGCACTGGCCCTGAGGTGGAGGGGCTTGAGTAGTTGATATTAATGAACCCTATCTAAGGTCACCTTGAAGGACTGAGCAAAGCAGACAAGTTTTCTGAGTCTCTCTAAACATACTTAGATGCCACAGCCCTGGGAGACTCCAGGCATTGGGGCTTTCCCATTTCTCTGACGGAATTCAGAAGATGACCCTGACCCTCCCCAAAACATCTCCAGCATTGTGCCTGGAATTCCACTAATTAAGAATTTCCATTGGACTCAATGATACAATTTAAAATAAATTCACATACTCTGAGAAGGCACAAAGAACTCTCAGTTGGAGAAAATATGTATTTGCTTGATTAGAAGTGTTTGCTTCTTAATACCAGAATGATATCACAGAGTGAAAAAATGACATTTCCATGGAAGCTATGGAAGAGGTAAATAAGTCAAGACACTCGAGAAAAGAAGCAATCTTAGTGAATGTATTCATTTCCCACTGTTACCGTAACAAACTGCCACAAACTTAGCCAATAAAAAAAAAGCACAAATGTATTATTTTAGTTTTGAAGGTCAGAAGTCCAAAATGGGTTTCACTGACCTAAAATCAAGGTGTCTGCAGGACTATGTTCCGTTTGGAGGCTCCAGAAGAGAATCTGTTTTCTTGCCTTTCCCTGGTTCTAGGCTTGTGACCCATGCATCCATCTTCAAAGCAAGTAATGTAGCATCTTTGAATTTCATTCTCCTGTCTTCCCCTATCACAGGTAAGAACTTTTGTGAATACTTTGTGGCTACCCAGATAATCCAGGATAATCTCCCCATCTCAAAATCCTTAATTTAATTACATCAGCAAAGTCTCTTTTGGCAGATAACAGTCACAGATTCCAGAGATTAGGACATGAATATCTTTGTACCAAAATGAGAAGCTTTGGGTGTTACCCAGACAGGAAATGGTGTTTCTCTTTATGTTTGTCCTATCATCTTGATCTGCAGAATCTATGGCAAAAGAGTTTTCTGACCCTGAGATATGGCTTTTGAGATATTAAAAGTACTGGTTCCATGAACGGTTAAAGAAAAAAAAAAAAGACAACTCACTGCACTGCCTGGATCTTCAGCAGAACATGTTTGAGTTCCAATCTCCAGTTTCTTACTTGCTAAACTGGCTTGATGGTGCCTTTAGACTGATTCTTCTATCTTCTGTGCCAGCTCCTTCTTTTCTTCCCTCCAGATATTCAGGTTTTCTCCAGGCAAGGACCTAGGCCCTCTTCTCTTCTCAGTCCATGTCCTTTTCCTTGTCAATGTCACTTCTCTGGTGTCTTTAAGTATCCTTGATATGCTAACAACTCCAAAATATATATTTTTAGCTCAAATCTCCCTTCTGAATTCCAAACCTTTATATCCAATAATTTATTTTATATCTCCACTTCCATGACACACTGGCATCTTACCATATTCAAAAGTGAACTTGGGAAAATGACAAGTGTTGGTGAGGAAGTGGAAATCTGAACCCTTGAACATTGCTGATGGGAATGTAAAATGGTTCAGCCGCTATGGAAAACAGTTTGGTGGTTCCTCAAGAAGTTAAACAGAGAATTGACAGATAACCCAGCAATTCCCCTCCTAGGGATATGTCCAAAAGAACTGAAAGCAGGTACTTAAACAAATCCTTACACACAAATGTTCACAGGAGCAATAATCACAATAGTCAAAAGGTGGAAACAATCCAAATGTCCATCCAAACCCCAAATGTCCATGGATGAATGGACAAAGAAGCTAGTAGATACATACAGTATGTATTCATACTATTCAGCCATAAAAAGAATGAAGTACTAATACATGCTACAACTTGGATGAACCTGGAAAGTGTTATGCTACATAAAAGAAGCCAGACACAAAAGGTCACATATCACATGACTCAATTTATATGAAATGTCCAAAATAGGTTAAGTCCATACAAACAGAATACAGTGTGGTGGTTGCCAAGGGCAAGGGTGTTGTGTGAAGGAGGGTATCAGGGGAAAATGAGAAGTGAATGCTTAATGGGTACAGAGTTTTCTTTTGGAATGAAGGAAGTGTTTTGGAATTAGAGGTAGTGGTTGTACAACATTGTGAAGGCACTAAATGCCACAGCACTGTTCACTTTATGTGAATTTCATCTGAATAAAAAAAAGTAAGCTTGATCTCCCTGCCCTCCAAGTCCTCCTTCCTTCTTTCATAAGCTTCTCTCTCACTTCCTCCATCCCACGAATTGGGTCAATTTTGTCTCTTTTACTTCAATATATATTTGAAATGATCCACTCCTCCCCATCTCCTCTGCCACTGCCCTTGTCCAATCCACCATTATCTCTGAACTACTGCAATTACCTCCTCACTGGTTTTCCTTTTTCCACTCAGGTCTCTCCTTCTGTTCATTCTTATTTTAAAAATATGCCAAAAACTATCATATACAGTGCAATTTTTGCCACACTTTAAAAATGCTAACATGATTATGCCACTACTCTGATTAAAACTATAAAACGGCTTTCAATCATTCATAGGATGAAATTTAAGCTCCTTTCCATGATCTGTAAAGGCCCCAAATCTGGCCCCTATTCACCCCTCTTGCCTCTTACCCTATCACTCTCCTCTTCACTGCACTCCATCCACGGCTCTGTGTTCTAGTCCTTTAATCAAAGTTCCTTCCCACCTCAGGAGCTTCCCTCGTGCTTAACCTGAAGATCTCTCACCACACACACCCAACCCCTGCTTCTTCACCTGATTAACACTCTCATCCTTCAGGTTTTCACTAGAGGGTCAGTTTTTTGCCTGATAGTAAAACTTCCCCCAGCCTAAATTCGATTTCCCATTTGTCCCTTTCTCATACTGGCACTTGTACCAACCATTGTTACAGTTATTAGCATGACTATTGTTGACTATTTGTTTACTTATATCTCTCACAGGGAAAGAATTGTGTCAGTTTTTTTTTTCTGTTGAATCTTCATTGGCTATCCCAGGGCCTGGCACATAGTAGTTTCTCAGTAAGTAATTATTCAGTGAATGACAACTGAATGCTAGAACCTATGTTCCAATATCTGTGCAGATATGCATTCAGTCTAGTATTTCTGTAGAACTGACTCCCAGATGTGGAATACTGCCAGACTGCCTTCCAAAAAGATTACACCAACCCACATAACTACTCTCAACGATGTAAAACAACTTCCTTATTCTAGCCAATTGTGTATGTTATTCATCTTAATTTTCAATGATCTGAATAGCAAAAACAAATATCCATAATTAACATTTTTCTAATTATTAGCAGGGTTGAGCATCTTCTCAGACATTTGCTCACATGTGCATTTCTTACATCACTGCTCATTTTTCAATCTGGTTATTTTGTATTATTTATATTCTAGATTCATCTCTAGATATTATGAATATTAACCGTTACATGCATTGCTGTCATCTAAGCCTCCTATTTGTCTTTAACTCCATTTAAGATGGCTTGTACAACTTTTTTTTACAAAGTCAAATCAATCTTTCAGGATGGAGTTTAAAAGGGCTTCAAAATCACACCCTTTCTCCCTCCTCCCAGTTCTAAGGTGGACAGGTGATTAATTGTAGTGGTGGGTGTGGGGGCAAGGACTAAAAGTGGAAGCAAGGAGATTGGTTGAATAACTACTGAAGGAGCCCAGCTGAGATACAATGGTGGATATGGGGCAGAATGGAGGTGAGAAATAGGACAAGCTGAGGATCTGCTTCGGAGATGGAGTCAACACATCAATTAATGGCAGGATCTAGGGGAGAGGAGTAGTAAGGGAAAGGGGGTTTCAAGGATGATTCTTAGGATTTTTACTTGACAACTGGGTAGGCTGTGGTTCTATTTACTGAGATGCAGATGGGGAAAGGGAGAGCAGGTTTGTCAGGGAGGAAAAAATTTAGTCTCCTTTTAAACTTGTAAGGCTTGAGATACCTCCTAGCTATGCAACTGAAGGTGTCATGCAGGCATTAAGAAATGGGACTCCAAAATTCAGAAAGATCACAAGCAGATATATAAATTTAGAAGTCACCGTATAAAGATCATATATAAAGACAGTATATAAAACTGCACGACTGGATGAAATTTCCTAGGGAGAAAATGAATCAAG